GCAAAATGTAATGACGTAAAGTGAAAGTGATGCTAATTTGGAGGTGAAGCATGAAGAGATTGGAGGAAGAGAAACTGCGATCAGGTTTTGATTTTTTTAAAGGATCGTAGGCGCACTGGTTGGTGCTGCAGCCTGTGACACTTCTCCTCACAGGTTTCTTTAATCCCTGTCTTCTAGGAAGAGCCTAATTAATATGTGAATACTGTGTTGACCTTCTCGTAGGGATCTGCATTTAGTCTCTGATTGTGTTTCTCTGCTGTCTTTTCTTGTCTTACTTGCAATAAAGGGCCAAATAACGTCTCATCCTCCACGGATGTGGTTTGTGGCCAGCTGCCCGCAGCGATGCTGCCGCCTGCTCCCTCCCACGGTCCCGCTGCCGGGGACGGTTTGTGGGACACTGCTGTGGATGGGCTTAGGAAGCTGATGTGGGTTTGAAAGGCTGTTTTCAGTTCCCTGGGCAGCTTGGTGCTGGTGTGGCTGCAGGAACAGGCCAGTGTGCTGTTGTGCATCCCAAGTGCATCCCTGGGCTCCAGCAGAGCGTGTCCGGGAGCCGGGGTGGATGGTGCTTTACAGCAGGTTTGAAGCTCTATGTTTGGAGGTTTCTTTTTGGTTCTGGTGGTGCTCAGCTAAGCGTGGCAGTCTGTGCTGCCAAGGGCATGTCTGTCGTTCTGCTGCATGTCCAGTGACGTTGCTGTCAAACCAGAGCCAAAGATCGATTTCCCTTGGGGGTGGTTGTTCCCGTGGCCGTGCCCCCAGATGCCGTTTGTGCGCCTGTTGCCTCGATGGACTCTGCTTCTCAGCCTGGCCAGAGCATCTGTGAGAATGTTGAAAGGACTTTGGATTTGAAAGTTAATAAATTCTGCTCTGATCTTCGGATGAATCTTTTGTTTTCCATAAAATTCCAGATTCAAAATACAAATTACCTCCTTGTCTCTCTGCTTCAAGCTCGGAAGATCAGCTCAGGGCACAGAAGATCTTCAAAGAACGTGTTCAAAGGCTCCTAGTAAAACCCTGGTAGCTGCCCAGCATTAGTGACCCAGAATCACAGAATCCCAAACTGGTTTGGGTTGGAAGGGACCTTAAAGATCATCCAGTTCCAACCCCCCTGCCATGAGCAGGGAAAAGTGGTGCTCAGAGCTGCAGTGGCTGCTTATGGTGGGAGTTTGCACTTGAAGCCCCATCACAAATTCTTAATTATCATGTTGCAAAATGACCACATAGGCTTCAGGAAAGCTCGACTGCCTCATGGTTATTTGCAGCTGCAGGATGGGGTCTTGCCTGGTAAGAAGCAGGAGAGTTCTCTCTCCAAGCCATGAATGTGATGAGGGACCTAATTCTGATGGGGCGTTGCAGAGGGCGGGAGCGTTGCGGGGACCAGTGCGACTGGAAAGGGCAGGGCTGTGTTTCTGCCTGGCTCTCACCGTGGCTGATCCCATCCAGCTCTGCCACGTAACCTGCCCACTCCTGTCCTGCAAGGCAGTTGCATCTCTGGCACCAAACGTGGAAAAAAGTCCTACTGAAATTCTTGGCTTTTGTTTTAAAACAAAAACAACAAAAAAAACCCCCTCCACGTTGCTGCTGCTCTCATTTATTGCAGCATTTCTATTCTGGATTGGTTATTTCTGCTGAGCGTTGCAGGCTGGCTGGAAAGAATTCAATTTTGTGTGTGACCTTGTTGTCTCCACTAGCAGGTGAACCATGTCAAGCTGTCCTTGAGCTAACCAGGGTGAGCAGGAGCTGGCCAAAAAGGCTAGTCATTTGGGGTGAGACTTTCAAATGGGTTGCAGGTAGATGCAGGGAGATGTGCTGGTGGTTGCTGCTCAGGGTGGTGGGCAGGTTCCTCTCCAGGGCAGGTCAACGCACCGAACAACACGAGTAACCAGGAGAGTTGGTTGTATTCACATGGCTGTCAAGCTCGATGGATTGGAGGGAAAGAATAAAACAAGAAAACTTGGGTTTTTTTAAAATTTTCTTTCTTTTCTTAATTTTATTACTTCCCAGCAGTTGTTGCCATTGTTTGTCCTATCACAGCAAAATCCCTCTGGAAGCTGAATGGCAGCTGAACGCGCTGCAAGCGCAGCAAATGGCTTTCTGCTTTGGTATCAGCAGCGTCTTGGACTTGAACCAGATTCTTATCGCTGCTTACAGAAATAAAAGGCAACTGTGCATTTCAAGGTCACTGGCAAATAGATTTCACTGAAGTTTAGTCATTGGTTTAGCAGCTCCAAGAGATGCTGAGCGGTTTTGAGTCAGGGTATTCTTGTCCCATCCAAGGGATGAGCGACCAAATGCCAAAAAAAAAAAAAAAGAAGAGAAAAAGAAAGCCCAGTGTGAATGTTTTGGGCTTCCTCTGCCTGAAGCATGACTGAGTTCTCAATGCAGCTTTGCCTGGCTGGAGCCTCTTTGAGAACGCAGCCTTGCCGAGCTCCAGCCTATTTTAAAATCCCGAGCAGTGGTGCTGCCTGTTGCCTGGAAACCTCCTCCCAGCCTCGGGCACCCTCAGTCTAATCATAGCCATCGGCAGCCTCTCTTTATTTCCCTCCCCAAATGTCATCCCAGGCTTCTGGTTTGTGGTGGGGTTTTTTTGTTTGCTTGTTTTTGTTTTGTTTGTTATTTAAAATGAAAAGACACAAAAGCAGAACTGTCAAACTGGGTGACTTTCTGTGGGAACGGCTTGTCACCGCATTGCAGTGCTGGGAACTGGTGGTTGAAGCTCTGGAAGGTGATGGCTCGGAGGGACAGGGTGGGGAGAGGAGATGTGGGGGCTGAGGGGATGGGGCTGAGAGCCCAAGGAAGCCCCCTGAGCTCTGCTGCTGCAGGGTCTGAGCCATGCAGTGGCTTCCTGTGCCTTGTGACTGATTTTTCCTTAAGAAGAAGAAAACCAAACCTAACCAGCTAGGATCCCTTTCCCAGCACACGTGTCCAAGTTCCCGTTCCTGGTGTGGCTGCACCATCCCATCCTGGGTCTGTGGTTCCACACTGGGCTGCCCAGATCAGCATGGACTCACTTTTCTCCCTGTGTGCTGGGCTTTAAACTGGAAGACGGTCGGTTTAGATTAGATATGAGGAAGAAATTCTTTGGTGTGAGGGTGGTGAGATACTGGCCCAAGTTGCCCAGAGAAGCTGTGGCTGCTCCTCCCTGGAAGTGTTGAAGGCCAGGTTGGATGAGGCTTTGAGCAACCTGGTCTAGTGGAAGGTGTCCCTGCTGATGGCAGGGGGGTTGGGACTGGATGAGCTTTAAGGTCTCTTCCAACCCAAACCAGTCTGGGATTCCATGATTCTATGACTCGTCCTGCAGTTGGGGTCTGTCCTTGCAGAGCTGTCAGCCTGAGCTTTAGCGTCTCCCGAAGTTGGACTTGGAGGTTTCCCTGTCTTAGGGGCCCTTTTTAATTCACCTAAACTCTTGGCCACCTGGAAACCTTAATTGATGCCGTCTCTCCCCCAGGAAAGCTTTAAGAGATTGCTATTTCCGCTCGGTTAGTGAGCGCGATCGATCCTGGTGGGATGGAGCAGGATTGATCGCAGGAGCCCGGCTACCGTTCCGTTGTGTTTCTGTCCAGGGAGGGAGTCCCTTGGGAGAGCGCTGGGCTAAAATCACCTGCAAGTTGGTACCAAATGCTGACCAGGACAGTGAGACACAGGAGCTGCTTCAGCTGTTCACGAGTTGTTCTTGCGATTTAAAGGGTTTATTTTACAAAGCTGAGAATATTTGTTCTACCAAAGGCAGAGCTAAAGGAGGCTTTGGCCGGAGATGCAGCCGAACAAAGGTTTGTGTTTTATTTAGCAACCTTATTGCAGGCACAGAGCAATACACCAGGCTTATCCTGTCATTGCTTTTGTTTTCCTCTCGAGTTAAAGTTTGACAGCCAGTTTAGGCTCCTCTCAGGGTACGCTCTTGTCTCACAGCCTTAGTGCTGGGACATGAAGTTGGAATTGTCAGGGACAGACAGAAGAACCAGAACCAGGCAAAGGACAGACACTTTTTCCATTCCCATCTTTCAGTGTGTGACAGTGATTAAAAAAACCCAGTCATTTACCAAAGAAACTGTGAGGGTGAGTGAATCGTGCTCTGAAATCATGTGTCCTTGCTTCTCCACCGAAGGGGAAGAGTGCTTGAGAGGCTGCAGGGATGGTGGGCTGGTCTCTGGGTTCAGAACGTGTTGCTTAGTGGTGTAGAGAGGTGCCAACATCTGTTGAAATATTTATTCAAACCCAAACTCTCCTGTTCTTAACCACTAAAAGCAGAAGTGACCCTCCTGTCAGCTCCTCTCCTGTGGACTCTGCAGTGATCTGCTCTGCCTTTCTGTAGAACACAGCGTAGACCTGTTGTCTCCTCGGGTGTTTATTGTCTTAGTTTCTAAGCAAAGCTTCCTACAGGTGATCAGCTTCCTCTTCCTCTGGGGGAGGGAGGAGACAGAAGGAAGAACAAAGTGCATATGGGGGAGGCAGGAACAGGAACAGCAGAGAAACAGTGAAAAACTGTGGTCACAGATGGTAAAGCAAGAGGGTTCCTCACCCTGCCTGTGCCACCAGCACCGCTGGATGCCTGAGCGAGCAAAACCACGCTGCTCATGGCAAGAGCAAAGGGGAAAAATCAAGTGCTCAGGGGAAGGGAAATTCAGTCTGTTGAGCTGAATTCAGTGCTGGAGGATTTAAGAAAATAAAACAAAAAAGGATGAGGAGAAACGAGCGCTAAAGCACTGACTGGGTGGTGGGTTTCCCTTTGCTAATCTCTCCCAGCTGCGTGTAGTTGGAGCTCATGCTGGTGTTTTCTTTGTAGCCTGGTAGTTTAGTTCTCCCAGTTCCCCATTAAGATCAGTATTTGCCCCTCTCTTTTCTGGTGTTGTGGGCAGGTTTGAGCTGTGATGTGCCAAAGCACAAGCTCTCACAGACAGCGTTAGGGTTTGTGTTGGTGGCTCTGCAGTGCCTGGGAGCATCTTGGGCTCGATGGTTCCTCTCGTGTCTCTGACTTATCATCTCAGTGCAGTTCTGCTAATCTGATTTCTTCTCCTTACCAGAATGAAGAGAAGAGGAACCTTTCCCTGGGAGGCCATGTGGGCTTTGACAGTCTCCCCGATCAGCTGGTCAGCAAGTCTGTCACACAAGGCTTCAGCTTCAACATCCTCTGTGTGGGTGAGCACGGTCCTCTGCAAACACACGTGGGCTGAGCTGGCGGTGCAGTGAGGTTGGGACCAGGGTTTCATGTGTGTCCTGCTGTGCCACAGGCCTGGGCAGTGACTTTAAGCAATCCAGAAATGCCTAACTCTCTTGATTTATTTTTAAAAAGCATTATAATTTCAATGAACTTGAGCTCTCTAGAACCTGATGCTTCTGAGTTGTGACTTTCACAAGTGACTGTTGGAGGCTCATTGCCCAAAATGAGAGAGAGTTTTGGGAGAAGCTTTAATAGATCAACTTTCTGCCTTTGGTGAGGTGTGTTGGGGAGGAAACGGGTGTGGGACTGTCCAGCTCTGCATTACACTGAGCTACTGGTGCAGAGAGCAGCAGGGAGGTCTAGGGTGGCTTGAGCCTCGTGGATCAGACCAGGAGAATTTCCATAACCAGTGAGGTGTTGCTCATCTCCTCCGCTGCAGCAGCTTTGCAATAGGAAGGTTTAAGGGAAGACTGTGTGTGGCAAGTTAAATATTTCCATTTGCAAACTGGGGTGGCTGGCATGAGCAGCTTCTCAGTGAATAGTGCCCCAGTAGGTGCAGTCAGATGCACCGTGTGTTAGCTGGGAGCGCTGGTGATAACTGGGTTGTTTCTGAGTGCAAACCTGCAGCCCAAAGCCAGGGATGAGAGCTTTGGATCTGAGCTGTGCCTGGTTGATGCTTTCCCAGAGTGAGTCAAAGGGCCTGAAGCGTGTCCATCTCTGTGCTACCAAAGGGAGAGGGAGCTTTCCTGGTTTTATTGACTGTAAAGTATTTATCTTTAAGACTGTGAGCAGTGTGAGAGCCTGAGTTTAAAATAACCTCATTATATTTTTGGTTTTTAATTGTTATTGACGTGATCTAGCAGGTGATGCTGGCTAGACCACTAGAAACCAATTCCTTCCAGTGATGAGATGAGCATTATTTTTACTTTGTCTGGTTCTTGTATTGTTCATGAGGTCTGAAGTATTGTCACCTGCTAGACCAGCAGAAATACCTCCAAAGACAGCAGCTCCTGCCTGGCCCTCAGTCTGCCCGAGGAGAATATGGCTCCATATAGGCTGTGCAGTGAAACCCTGACAACTTGCACAAGGTGCTTGTGCCCTAACTAAGGCACTTTTGCATATCCAAACCACAAGTAAAAAGCATGGCTGAAATCACAGCTGAACTCCACAGACGTGTTCCTTAGCAGAAGGGTAATTGCAGCAGAGAGCAGTATGTTTTTAATTAGTGTCGTTCTTGGTGACACCAGAATGGGTGCTCCTGCATTCTCATCTGGCCATACCATTTGTGACACAGTGGAAAAAATTACTGCTTTTTTTTTTTGGACAAAAGGAAAAAAAACCCAACAAACCAACAAAACAAAACCCTGTGCCCCTGTTTGCCAGTTTCTGCTCCCAACTGTGCCCACAACTGAACAGGAGAATGTAGCTTGCGTCAGTACTGAGTTCTCCATATGACTTTCAGATGAATTTAGAGCACCAGGCTGGTTTTATTTCCTTGCCCAACTCTTAACCACAGCTGGGAGGAAGCAGGATGTCCCTCTGCCCTATTCTGAGCACCGTGTGGTATTTATGGTTATGCTTGAAGAAGGAAAAAGCCCAAAGCCTTTGGCAGCAGGCATGACACCTCCCTCGAACAGAAACTCACTCAGCCTCCTGCTCTCCCACCGCAGGGCTCCTTGGAGCTGGGGGGGTTCAGCCAGAGGGGCTGCACTCAGAAGAAGGCTGGCTGTGCTGAAGGTGTAGCACGAGGGGCTGCCTGGGGAAAAAGCAGGGAGGAGAAGGCAAATTTTCCTTGGATTTTGCCTCTTCACTCCCTTGGCCAGTACGGCTGCGTGTGGTGAATGAGGATGGGGCCTCTTGTAGACCAATCTGGAAAATATCAGGGTCTCATTTAGTTACCAGGAGCAGGAGTTCAAAGCCTTTCTGGCTCACAGGCAGCCTCTGAGCGAAATATTCTGGGATGGAGCTTGGTTTGTGATGCATCCCAGGTGTCCTTCAATGGCTGTTGGAACAGGAGGCCTACAGATGGGAAACTTCTCCTGATCTTACCTCTACTGGTTCTCCAAGAGTTATTCTCTCCCTGCTGCCAGGAACTATTCTCTCCCTACCAAGTTTCTCTCCCATCCCCTCCTGGCTCCATGTTCTCTCCCTCTGCATATCTTGGAAGTTCAAGTTGGCAGAATTTTTTCTACTACTGGAAGGATGAAGACGCCTCAGAAGTGCCCTTCTCCAGTGCTCCAGCATGGTGCTCTGCTGAGATCTGCAGTAAAAATGCACCATGGAATGTGGTCTCTGAAAACATTGTCATGCTTTGGCCTCTGTGGCACGGATGCTCCATGGCATTTTGGTCTTGGCTTCACTTTGATTTCCTCTAAACAGTGTTCTTGTCTCCCCTTGGCTGATCTGGAATGGAGAATCATGGGGCAACTGGGGAGCCTTGAAGGAGGCAGAAATACTAAAGGGAGACTCCAGAAATCAAGAGCAATATGAGACGAAACTGGCTGCCTTGCAAACCCTGTCATCTGGGCTGGGCTGCAAAGTCTCCCTGTGCAGCTGGAGCTCTTCAGGGGAGAGCAGCACCTCTTGCTCTGTGTCAGACAGCTGCTGTCAGAGGTTGTGTGGATGCCTGTGGATGCTCCTGCCTGATGAGATGGAAGAGTTTGTTTCTTACTTCCTCCAGTTTGGCCCATTCTGTTTGCGGCACAGGTGTCCCTCTCATCTCAAAGCACAGACGTGCAGGATGGGACCATCTTGGACAGTTTGCATGTACCAAGCCAGGCTCAGCAGCTCACTGAGTGCCTTGTGCAGAGCTTGTGCTGCTTTTTGGAGAGGAGAGCAAAGAGCCATAGAACTGACTTTGGTGTGGCTGAGGTGGGAAAGGGTTACAGCAGAATGGGCTTCAGTCCTTTGGCAGTTATTAATGGGACATGTGGGACTTGAGGCAGTGGAAGAGGGTCAAGCTGCTCTAAGGCTTCCAGGCAGACCAAAGTTGAGCTGCACAGTGAAATCATGAAACCTTCATCCAGTGTCTTTTCTGCTGTGAAAAGAGGTTTTCAGTCCAATGGGAAGTTGTCCTAGCAGGTCTAGAGCTGTCTCTGTTTCTCTGCAGTGAAATAGACACCCAGATTCCCTCCTCACAGGGGCCACCACTCTTGGGGGGCGGGAAAAAAGGCAGGTCCCCAGAGACTTCAGTGGCAGGATAAAGCAAAGAGAGGAAGTGGTAAAGAAGCCTGTTAAAGTCAGGAACCTCACAGAAAGGAGCGAGAAGAAACCTCATTGTCAGACGTCCCTGTCCCCTCCACGGCACACCGAACACCCATCCCTTCGTGCTGATCTGCAGCGTTACCTGGAGCTCTCGTTGTGTTTGGGACAACCAACAACTGACCCAAATACTCCTTGTCAGTAGGAGCAGATGAGTTTTACGCCTTTGCTTCTGAAGACTCAAAAGTCTCTACTAAAACTTCACTCTCCCCAGCTTCCCTGGTGCAGGATGCCAAGTCAAGTCAGGGTACATGGCAGGGGAAGGTGGTGTTTTTTGCTGTGCTGTATGGTCCTCCTGGGGGGAGGAGACCAAAGTGCTCTGTGATAGCTTTGCATTGAGCATGAGAGGCCTTTGAGAATGCAGTTACCTTTGTGACAATTGTAGGTCTGTCCCCAAGCAATTTGTAGTAACCTTTCACAGTCTAATATAGTTCTGCTCTGTAATAAATGTTCTTTGAAGTACCTGTGATGAATTCATGCTGCAGTGAGCTGATGATTTCTCCTTCCTAGGTGAGACTGGCATTGGGAAATCCACACTAATGAACACCCTCTTCAACACCACGTTTGAGACAGAGGAAGCCAGTCACTATGAGAGCGCAGTTCGCTTGCGGCCACGGACCTACGACCTGCAGGAGAGCAACGTCCACCTGAAGCTAACCATCGTGGATGCGGTTGGATTTGGGGATCAGATTAATAAAGATGAAAGGCAGGTCTCGTGCCATCTGCTTGGCATTTCTGGGCTTGTCTCTGATGCTTAGACCTGATCTGCCTGCAGTCCTGCTTGCGGTGGTGCAGAGGACACGTCTGTTTCTGTTAATGGAGTAGCTCCCTACGCTGGCTCTGGTTCTGGGGTCGGGGTGTAGAGGGAGTAGGGTGAGGAGCCAAAAAGAGAGGTCGTAGGAGGCCTTTTCCACCAGAGAATGGTGTCCTCCAGGAGCCTGAGCAGTTAACAAGCTGTCCTCAGTGCAGGGTTGGGAAGTTGCTGTTCTGGCAGTGATCAGTGTCTCTGGAGCTGTCTCATTTAATTACACAGACATCTTGCTCAAGCCCCAGGTAAAGGCTTTCTGGGACTCCAAGGTCTCTCCTTGGTCATGTTGTGTTGCTACAACCAGATGGCTCAGCCCTGAGACCTGGGCAAAGCTTGGTGTGTGGAAGTAGCTGTCTTTCCATGCTCCACTGTCCTTAGACTTTGCAGTGCAGCCTCGGGAGACTCCAGCAACCTTTGGATGATAAGGTCTGTGAGTCAGTGTCACACCTCTCCTGCTGTAAGGCTAAATTGTTTGAGTCTTGTAAATACTTTTTTGAATTATACCCTGTAACGTCTAGGAGAACTTTTTAAGCCTTCCAGCTGTTTCATTTTGAGCTCCAGTATCTGGGTTGCTAATGGTATGGTTTTAGTTACAGGCCAATCGTTGAGTACATTGATACGCAGTTTGAAAATTATTTGCAAGAAGAGCTGAAAATCCGCCGGTCTCTCTTCAACTATCACGACACGAGGATCCACGTCTGCCTGTACTTCATCACCCCCACTGGCCACTCCCTCAAATCCTTGGACCTGGTGACTATGAAGAAGTTGGATAGCAAGGTAAGGTGTTGAAGTCCATGGTCCCTATTTCTCGAAGCTGTGATGCTTCTGTTCATGTTGATTGTCATGTGGAAGGGTTTGTTCCTTCCCTGTAAGTGCTGGACTCCTTCCTGCGTGTTATCATCTGAGCCATTTTTAGGATTCTGGTAAAACTTAGTCTGCCCTGGTGGTTGCTGAGGTCCTGTGCTTTTTTTTTTTTCCTCACTGGATTTCCTGAAAAATGTCAGATGAAAAGCTGTTTTCAAGCTAGCTCTGTCCATCTAGAGTGTCCATCACCTTAAGAATCTTACCCACATTAAACTTATCAAAGCCATCAGCTTCATCTTTATTAGCTCTTCTGTGCAGGTATCTGGGCAGGGATGCATTCCAGCTCCTGCAATTGAACTGTGGAAACTGCAGAGCCACCTCTGCTGTCCCAACCTGTCAGCAGGGACAGAGGGGCTGAGAGCAACCAAAACAGTGGACATCCCAAGGTGGTGGTCAGTACAGAGGAGACCAGGGCTGAAGAGAAGTGCTGGCTGTGCGTGCTGGTGCACAGGGAGAGCAGGAGCTGTCATTGCTGGTAGTGGTCAGGATGGTCTGGGTAGGAGGTCACACTATTTTCTGAAAACATAAATATGGTCAGAAATTCTCAAGGTCAAAGGAATCCTAAAAGTGGGTCGTGAGAGGGTCTACCTACAACTGCTTTGTGCATAAACTGTTACTGCCTCAGGAGCAGGGGGTTACTTAACTGGCTACTGCTGGTGTTCCTGCAGCTCAGAGGAGGTTTCTGACACTCTTATGGTTCCAGCTGGCTTCCAGGTTGCTGCAGGAGACTTCAAAGGTCACTAGTGACACCAGCACCTCTTCTTTTCTTTGCAAGAGTTTCCTGTCTCTCAGAGCAGTGTTGCAGCAGCAAGGTGGTTCCTTTCAGGTGCCAGATGCTGCTCAGCCTACAGAGAGGGCAGGGCAGGCAGCTGGGACCCTGCAGCGAGTGGGGATCCCCTGGTTACCTTCAGGGAATGCTCTCTGCTCTGGCTGTTGTCCATGTGCAGCTCTGTCAGACTTTCCTGGGGGGGGTTATGGTTCCCCCTCGCAGGGTCCCTGCTGTTTGCCCTCACCACCCAGGGCTGTTGGCCTGCTTTTCCTTGGCCCCACTCCAGAGCAGGCGCTGGCTTCCCATTGCAGTGGGCTCTTTGTAACCATGGTGGCTGTTACACTGACTTCATCAGGAATCCAAAAACTTTCCCTTAATCAACTCTTGTCTCTTGGCCTGGTGCCAGCATTACATGTTCCCAGAAATATGTCTGGAGGAAAGCTTTTGCACGGTTCCCCTTGGTGCTGGTGGTCCCGCAAAGCTTTTCTCTTCCTTTCCTTCTCCATTCCCTACTTTTCACATCTCCTCGTGGCTGCCTTTAATGTGGTCCTTGGGTAGTACCAAAATAAACCCTTTGTACTCGTGCACAGATGGGAACTTTGTGCACACACACAAGCTTTTTGTACTTCTAAACTTCCACTTCAATAGTTCTCTCTGAAGCCATTTTATCCCTTTGCTCTCATCTCCCTTCTAGCCACAGTGTGAGAACATCTTGGATTTCATGGTGTGGTGGCCTCACACAAGCACACACATGGAAGTCAGTAAGCAAGTAGAGACCATTTGATCTTTTCTGGGTCTCAGGGCTTGCATTTCTGCATTGGTGTCATCCCAGAACATCAAGGTGCTTTCCAGGCACTCCTCAAAGACTTGTGTGTGACAGCACTGTGCCCCTTTCCCAGTACACATCAACCCTCTGTGCCTGGGGCCAGCATTTGTCAGGGTGGAGTGGGGTGTCAGCAGCCCCCGGGCAGTGTTCTCTCTGCTCCAGACTGGTGACAGCGAGTGGTTCCTGTGGCTGAGCAGGGAGGTGATGTGCTCTGACTCATGTCTGCAGCCGTGTGAGCACACCTGAACATGGCTTTCCTCTGTGGAAAAAAGCTTGATGTGGCTGGTGGCCCCTGTTCTGCAGCTGGAGAATGAAGCCCATGGAGACAGAAGGTGTATGGGAGGCAATGCTTTCTGTGTGCTCTGCTGCCTCAGCCTCTGAGGATGGTTTAACCAGGGTTTTGTAGGATCCTGGCTCAGTGACACCCCTGCTTTAGCACACCAGTGGCGTGGCATGACGTGTTGGGCGGGCTCTTGAGCCTGTGTGACGATTTCAGTAATGAATCTTGCTTTTAGTGGAAAGTTTACAAAACCCCTTCTGGGGTAAGCTGGTTTGTAAACAGAATTTTCCATTGTGCTGTAATACAATATTTGTTTGGCTCTGCTCGTGGCCAGCTGTTCTCTAGGGTGTTTAATTACAGCCAGAGAGCTCGAAGCTTCTTCAGAAGTGGTTCTAGGTGGATGAAATGTGGCTGGCTGGTAGGTGAGAAGTGAGTATGACCTGGCAGGAGTTGGTTTTCCATCAGGATTAACCTGAGCAAAGGAGGAGATAAATAAATAACATAAATAAAACTGCATCTGTATCAGATGAGGTGATTTATTGATTTAAACCACAGCCCTGCCCTGGCAAGCGATGGCACAGCTGTGTGCTGCCATGGGCATCCCGGGGCTCCCTGGGGGGCTTCCAGCCAGCGTTTGCTGTTTATGAGCCATGGCTATTGCTTGCCCATCATGAACTGGCACATCCTAGGCAGGTCACTGGCCAGTGGGGACACTTCAGGCCAGTTTGTGCCTCTGCTGCTTGGTTTCCACAGTAGGATTTACCTGTTGGCTTCACTGGGACTTGCCGCAGTGTTGATGTTGGCGGTTGATTACTAGAAATACGACAACTTGTTAAAAATCTTTTGGGCTTTGAGCTCTGTGGCAGCAGGTGCTGACTGAATTGCCTTTTCAAAGCATGAGGAACCTGGTTGGAGGGAACTTGAACCATCCTTGGTTTGTACCTTCTTTGTGGACTGCTGGGACAGCAGCTGTGAGCACAGAGCCGCTGGGAAAGCCAGACCACGCTCCAGGCTCTGCACCTCCTGCCTCGCTGTAAGCAGGGCTGAGCTGGTGCTTTTTGGAAGAAGAGAAGGGAAATTGCTTAAACCAACTGAAAATGAAGTAAAATCAACTCTTGTGCTGGCTTGTCAGTGTGCCTGGCTGGATGGAGAGCATGAAACCCTTCCCACAGCAGCTCCCTGGCAGTGCCTTTCCCCTCGCAGGTACCGCAGCTGGTACGTGAGCCCTGAGCTGACCCTTTTTCTGTGCCATGTGGTGGATCCAAACCTTGGCTCTTTGCAGGTCAGTGAGGCACCCAGCTGTGGTCATGGTCCTTTTTTTACCTTTGTAATGAGGACATTGACCCGCTGAGGAGTGGAGTGAGCAGCAGAACTTGTTCTCTGTGGGTTTGTGGTCCTGGGTGAAGGAGGCTGGATCAGTGGCTGCGAAAAATAAGGAATTTATCCTCTCAGATAAAATTGCAATGAGCAACTTAAGACCGTTCTCTTCTGGAGTGAGGAAATGCTCTTGTGTTTACTGAGTGCTAAACCAGAGAGGAGAGAAAAAACAAGCAGTGTGGAAAAAACACTGAGCTACAAAGAGATCTTGAGCTGGGAAAGCAAGGTGGTTTGTTTTAATGGGCACCCGTTGGAGACCAAATGGCTGCTATGAATTTCTGCTCCGCAGGACAAAAAGTGTTGGCTGTTGGGAAATGTTAGATGGCAAATCCGACTTTCCCCTCATTTGCCTGAATTCTTGTATTTTACTGCTCTGAACTGGCCGCTGTTCAGACAGGGGGGGTTTGTTGTTGTTTGTTTAAGCAGCGGTTTGCAGTATCACACTTGGCTTTTCTGGGCATGGCAGCATTATCTAACAGAGGTTCCCGTGATAGATCCTGCCCCTCTGTAGCTCTCCCGAGCATGAGGAACCACATCCCTCCGGGAGGATGTAGGATATGGCCTTTATTTGCTCTCCATCTTGGTAGGTGCTGGGCATGGTGGGGGGATCTCCCCACCCTGCAGCTTGCGGGTGGCTTTGAAACCTGGGTTGATGAAGCTGCGTGATGTGTTGTGCTCAGTGACTGCTGATGTGAAACCAAAGCTGAGCAACAACAGCGTGAGAGCAAATCTGCTGTGGGCCACCCTGCACCTTTCCCAGGCCATCCGTGTGTGGATCCTCACGGAGGGGCTCAGGGATCCTCAGGGATCCTCACGGAGGGGCTCAGGGATCCTCACGGAGGGGCTCAGGGAGTCCCTGAGAAGGATCCACTGCTGCTGTGAAAGCATCTGAGGAGTCCCTGCTCTTTCTGCTTAAGTGTGGGAAGGCTTCACATCAGCTTGCTGCAGCGTTTCATCCTTGTACTTGTCTTCTAAAGCGGCTTGTCAGCACAGCCAGAGGTGGTGATAACTGGAGATGTGACAGTTATGCTGCCTCCTCTGCCTCCCTCAAGCTGTGTAACAAAACGCACAGGCAAGAGCAGAGGCTTTGATCTGCTCGTTGTGCATTTATCACAGAGTGTTTGGTTTATCTGGAAGTCTTGTAGGCAAATGAGTCTTGGAAAACTCTTCCCTCTAGTGTTCAGCTGGGCTCGTGCTGCAGCTCACATGCAAAACGTAGCACCTTTGTGGTTTTATGGAATGGAAAGCAGCCACCAGCGTAGGACCCAGGTCACCCCGTGGGCACCCACGCTCCCGGCAGAGCTGCTTCTCCAGCTGCTGCTCACCCGGTGTTTCACCAATTGACAGGGTTGGCAAAAAGGACACAGACACCAACGTAACACCAGAAACAAACTTACCTCACTCTGGTTTAAAACAGGGAAAAAAGATGAATAAGAGTTAAACAGGGGAATGCACCTAATCATTGCTGTAAAAGAGAAAGCAGGGTGAGTAAGAAAGATCCATCACCAATTGTCCAAGTACTGATCATCATCCAGATCCTGTACATCAGCTGGGAGCCCCGTCACAGCGAAGGATCTGGAGAGCCTTTCCCCAGCAATTGGGAGGTCCTACACAGTGTGTCCACTCGTAGGTGAGGTCTCCACCTTCGCTGGGAGAGAGTCCTGCTGTTATACAAACTCACAAACAAATTATGTAGAGAGAAAGGCACAGGAACATCTGGTGGGGAAGTTTCATTTCACACGGGTGCACCCCAGATCTGGCCAGGATCCAGGATGTGTCCAAGAAGCTGCTATTTTGGTATTCTGCACCTGGCTTTAGATTGCAGGAGAAGAAGTGTCACAGTCTCATTTCATGCTGATGTGACACAGGTTGGGAAGTTCACTCAAAAGTCAACTCTAATTTAAGGCTTATAATTTAAGCCTTTGTATATCACCTGGTTATTTTTCCTTCCTTCCTTCTGCTGTAGGTGAACATCATCCCAATTATTGCCAAAGCAGACACCATCTCCAAGAGCGAGTTGCACAAGTTCAAGATAAAGATCATGAGCGAGTTGGTCAGCAATGGTGTGCAGATCTATCAGTTCCCCACGGACGACGAAGCGGTCGCTGAGATCAACTCTGTGATGAACGTGAGTAACGCTGCTGGTCGCCTTGCCTCCAGAAGTTGTGACAAATTAACTTGTGGCACAAAAATGCATTTGAAGGGCAGGTTTCGTTGGGATTGTCCAGACACCAACTCTGTCTGAGAGTTCAGCTGTGGATCTGACAGATGCCCGAGGCTATTGCGGACAGAATTAATTAAGATGTGGCTCTTATTTAATCTGTGGGCTCTCTGGAGAAACTCTGCTCGGCTCTAAAATTTGTTTTATTGAATTTTTGAAGAACGCTTCGTTCAAAATTCATTCTCTCTGCTTTTAGGCTACTTCTCATTTGAGAAGGGAGAAACTTTGACTAAAAATTTTAGCGTAAAGATTTACGTTAGCCTTGCGACTTAAGGAGACTAAGCAGAGAAAACCCAATTTAAAATAAAGAAGACAAATTACTGAAGTCTATTTTGTCATTTTTGAAATTCAAAGCTACAGATCATGATACAGATTCAGATCGTGGCTGAAACATGTGCAAAACACTGGCAAGTTTCCTGTCTCTCGTATCACAGTGTAGCTATTTGCAGTAGAAACAGCTGAAAAGTTCCCATGTTAATTTTTAAAATAAAAAGTAGCTTTTTGTCAAAATGAACATCTTCCTGCAGAGCTGTTTCTGACAACTTTGTCTTTTCCTTCACCCCCTTCCCCCCCCTTTTTTTTTTTCTTTTTAAAAACTTTCAATAGCCAATTGATTTCTGGATCAACTAGCACATGTTTTCACTGTGACAGAGCTTTTTTGCTGAATTCATGAAAAAAATGGAGGATGCCCTCTTTTTAAAATAATTGCAAGTGGTGTGCATGGGGGATAAAAACAGGAGCTATGCTTGCATCTTTCCTCCCTTTTCTGCCTCCCTTTTCTGCCTCCCTTTTCTGCCTCCCTTTTCTGCCTCCCTTTTCTGCCTCCCTTTTCTGCCTCCCTTTTATGCCTCCCTTTTTTGCCTCCCTTTTCTGCCTCCCTTTTCTGCCTCCCTTTTCTGCCTCCCTTTTCTGCCTCCCTTTTCTGCCTCCCTTTTCTGCCTCCCTTTTCTGCCTCCCTTTTCTGCCTCCCTTTTCTGCCTCCCTTTTCTGCCTCCCTTTTCTGCCTCCCTTTTCTGCCTCCCCATGGAAATAATTCTGGCCACTTCTCTACCAATTCCACACTTCTGGAATCCTTTTCCTCCTAAATGTGAAGGATTTTGTCAACTTCATCCTACCGAAGCTCCTGCTCCACAGCTCCTCTCCTGCAATTCTTGAGGCAGGTCCCCTGTTTCCTTGTTGTTCTTGGTGCTTTTCAGACTTGGAGAGCAGCGAGCACATGTTGTATCCTGCACATGTCCCTTCCAGTGCCCACACACAAACTGCTGTGCCAAGGCTTGTTTACGGATGTCTTTGCTCGTGCCCTGCTCTTGGCATGTGGAAAAGCTGCAGGAACAACCTGACACATGGATCGAGGGAGATCAGTAACCATCGTGGTGTTCCTACAATATTTCCCCACCTAGTTCAGTCCAGCTGGCGTGTCTAGTAAGCTGTGCTACAGCCCTACACTGCTCTCAGTTCTAACGTCCCAGCTCATAGTAGAGACTGCTCTGAGTATTGGAGATTGGTGGCTTCAGAGGAAGGACTTTTTGAAGTGGATCCTGTGCCTGGGTGAGGGGATCTGATACTTGTGCTGATCTCTGAGGGGTTAGTCCATGCACTGAGTCCCTGGCTTTGGCTCTGTTTCAGGCTCATCTGCCCTTCGCTGTGGTTGGCAGCACGGAGGAGGTGAAAGTCGGGAACAAGCTGGTGAGAGCTCGGCAGTACCCGTGGGGAGTGGTGCAAGGTAAGGGGTGTGAGCTGGGCCCCCGCCACAGACCTCCCCTGTGCACACACATGCGCTGACACACGCTCCAGCTCTGCCCTCCCAACAGTCCCTGTGCACAAAGGTGCCCAGCAGAATGGTGCAGAAATGTCCTGGGCAGGTTCTGTGGATCAGCCAGTCTTTCCTTTGAACTCTGCAGTGGTTTCACTCCTTTGGCTGCAGCTAAACCCAGTCATTCTCTCACTCGTCCCCTGCACCACCCTCCAGGGAGTAGGGGAGAGAATTGGAAGGGTAAAAGTAAGAAAACTCATGGGTTGAGATAAAAACTATTTACTTATTGAAATAAAATGATAATAATAACAACAGTAAGAGTATACAGATGAGTGATGCCCAGTGCAGTTGCTCACCACCCGCCGAGCGATGCCCAGCCTGTCCCAGCCAGTGATCCCGGAGCACAGACAGTCCCCAAACCCAAACCACAATCCTGGGAGAGCCAGAGCCTGAGTGATCCCTGAGAGAATCCTCCTGGTCAACCCTGGTTGATGTCCTGCCCATCACGGGATAGGAGATGGAATATCTCATTGGCAGAACCAAATGCCAATTGGGTTTTTGGGGTTTTGCTAATTATTGCACTTCCCCCTCCCAGTCCTTTGCACTTGTGAACCAGCCAAACACGATGATCCAGCAGCAACTAATGACATCAGCACCTTATCAAAATTCTTCCCATAACAAATCCCACACTGAAACTAAAACACAGCTATTCTGGCTACTAAGAAGAAGATTAACCCTACCCTAGTGACACCAGGACAAATTCCCATTCCTACCAGCAAGTAGTAAAGGCCAGTGGGAATCCCTGCATCCGAGGGGCTGTGCTGTGCCCTGTGCAGGACAGCAGGTAGAGGTTTTTGGGAGAGGAGTCTCTGGAGTTAATGTGTACATGCATTTGTACTTCCCCACCGTGTGTGTGGTTTGCTGACTCCTCCCTTTGCTTCCATCAATCAGTTGAGAATGAAAGTCACTGTGACTTTGTGAAACTGCGGGAAATGCTGATTCGAGTCAACATGGAGGATCTTCGGGAGCAGACTCACACCCGCCACTACGAGCTGTACAGGAGGTGCAAACTGGAAGAGATGGGCTTCAAGGACACAGATCCAGACAACCAGCCCTTCAGGTGAGTAGCCTTCATGTCTAGCATCAATTTAGAGAAATAGTTTGGTACCCAAAAATGCCCCCCCCCCCCAAAAAAAAATGGGAGGTTTGTAGGTGGCATCTACAATGCTGGGCTGGAAAATACTGGCACTGGGTTTGAACTTTGCAGCTGACTTTGGCGTTCCCTTCCCTGCCTGTTTGTCTTTAAGCAATGCAGACAGCGTGGGTTTCCCCATTCCTAACTCAGTGGTGTGGAAAGAGTCTGGATTTTGTTTGCTTTCTTCCCCAGCCTTCAAGAAACATACGAGACCAAAAGGAAAGAGTTCTTGGGTGAGCTCCAGAAGAAAGAGGAAGAAATGAGACAAATGTTTGTTAACAAAGTCAAGGAGACGGAGGCAGAGCTGAAGGAGAAGGAGAGAGAGGTGGGTGTGCCAAAAACCTGTGAGAGGAGCCCAAAATACAGCCAAGCATAGGATCTGGGTCTGGGCAACGTATGGATCCTGGAAAGCACATGCAGCTTCTGAGCAGACCTCAGCAGCCAAAGCACACACACACACATGCACACCTTCCCCACTCAGAGGAGGGGACATGGGGTAATGTTTTCAAAACAGCATCCCTGGTTTGGGTGCTCCAGAAACAGCAAAGACTGCTGTGTGTCCTGTGCTGTGTGTAGGAGACTCGGCTGCTGCTCGGAGACTGAAGGGTGATGCAGGGTGTTTTAATGAGCATCTATGTCATGTAGACTTCACCCCCAGAGTCTCACTGGAGAGCAGAGTACAGGGTTGCAGTCTCCCACATTGCTGGTGTGAGGCCACGGGCAGCTGCCATGACTGGGGAGGAAATAAATGGACCATCTTCAAAACCAGTGAGGAATGAACGAGTCCACGATGCCCACAGCCCCGCTGCAGGCTGAGCTGAGATCCTCAGAGCACTTACCCAAGGCTCCCGCTTCCTCCCAGTTTGATTTGTGGTGACAGGCAGAGCTGCCTTTATTGTGTCCCCACTGCTTTTGGTGACGAGGCTGTGATTGCCCGGAGGTCAGCTCTGCCAAGGGGCTTGCACAGGGACACGGGCTACCGTAGCTCCCCAGCCGGTGGGTGGGTGGATGTGGGGTGGTGGGAATTCCAGGGGAGCACAGCCTGATGGTGTGGCTGGATGTGATGCTCAGAGGATCTGTCTCCTACCAGCTGCATGAGAAATTTGAGCACTTAAAAAGGATACACCAGGAAGAGAAAAGGAAGGTGGAGGAGAAGAGGAGGGAGCTGGAGGAAGAGATGAACGCCTTCAACAGGCGGAAAGTAGCGGTGGAGACTTTGCAGTCCCAATCCTTGCAGGCTACCTCACAGCAGCCACTGAAGAAGGACAAAGACAAGAAAAAGTAAGTGACTGAACTCGAGTCTTTCTCCTCTGCTGCTGGGAAGCTGGGTTGTCTGCTCAGATGCTTTAATGTTTGGTCAGTTGTTTAGACAGCAAATGGGAAAGGGGATTTTGGAATCCTAATTCCTACCTTTCTGCCTCTTTGCTTAAAGTGGAGGAGAGACGGGGTCCTCCTGTGCCTGGGCACTGCCCTGGGGAAGCCCTGATGGCTGGAGGTGGGAGGGATTTGCAGTCTGGGGACATTCACAGAATCCCAGAATGTCCTGGATTGGAAAAGCCATTGAAGTTCATCGAGTCCAACCATGAACCCAACACTGACAAGTCCCTGACTAACCCGTGTCCCTCAGCACTGTGTCTACACGACTCTTCAATCCCTCCAGGGATGGGGACTCCACCACTGCCCTGGGCAACCCCTTCCAATGCCTCAGAACCCTTGCAGCAAAGAAATTCTTCCTCACATCCCATCTCCACTGCCCTGGCCACAACTGGAGCCCATTTCCTCTTGTCCTGTCCCTTGGTCCTTGGTTGAACAGACCCACCCCCACCTCTCTCCACCCTCCTCCAAGGGACTTGCACAGAGCCAGAAGGTCTCCCCTCAGCCTCCTTTTCTCCAGGTTAATTCTGTAAAGGCTGAGTCCTGCAGGGTTGCCATTGCCTCTGTGACAGCCAGCTTAGTGATCCTGGGAGCCTCCTGCTCCTCGAGACGGGAAGGTCTCGATAAATAATAAACCAGCAGAGAGGAGCAGGGACAATCCTGACACAGGTGTCATGTCCTGCAGCTGTGGTCCCCTGTCATGCAGCACCTCACTGGGATCTGTAGCCTTGGGGCCCTCTTTGGAAAGTGTTCTTGCTGTATTTTTAGAGGCAGAGCTGTAATGAAGGAAACAGCATCTGAGAGTGAAGACTCGTTGGAATTTCATCAGGGCTCTGTGTGAAATAGGGCTCCGAGACACAGTTCTGCTTACAAGAAAGCTCTTTTCCCCTAAAGGCAGAATTCTTACCTTGCTGCAAGCTGATGGATCTGGCTGAAGCCAGGGCATGTAAATAATGCTCTTTGAGCTGCCTGCTTGTGTAATGATAGAGCAGGAGTGGGGCAAATGGGTTTAAGAAGGAAAGATCTGCGGGGGTGATCCTGCTTCCATTCAAACCAGTCTTCAAGGAGCACTGGCTGGGGAGCAAAACGAGGAGCGTGCCGTCGTGCAAGCTGCTCATTCTGTTACTCCCCCCATTTTTTTGTTACTTCCCCCTGGGTGAAGGAGCTGAAGAGTCTGAACAGTGTTCTGTCACATCCAGAGCAGGCTGTGGCAATGCTTTCTGAGCCTTTTGGTGATGACAAGACAAAAAGGCCATCGAGAGCAGCAATGCCCGAGCTTGCACTTGGCAGCACAATGTTCAGCTTCGCGCTGCTGATGAGATCTTGTGCTCTGTCATTTCTCTGCTGTGAACTGCAGCACTAGAGAAGCTCGTTCTGCCTGCTGACATGATAGTAACTTGTTTCTTCCTGTGGAAGGTGACAGTGTGTGTTATTTAATGTATTATTGGATGTATTTCCTTGGAATGTAAGTGTGTTGGTGTTAACACCAAAGCACTCTCTCCTGCCAGCATGTTCCTGGGCATGTCCCACCTCACACACAGAATCCAAACCAGTTTGTAAAACATCCTGCTGGAAACAGGCTTGAATCCAGCTAAACTCACCTATGAATGAGGGGCTGAATCCGGGGCAGCCTGGGGCCCAGCTCTGCTTTGGAGAAGGTGAGCAGCGCGCTGTGAACTCACGCGAGCGATGCTGGGGATGCTCCGGTGATGACGTGCTGTGCGCGCTGGCCAGGCAGAAACCCTGCAGCTTCCCTCTGCCCCTTCTGTCTGTGATAGAAATAGATTCTCTGTGCTTTGCTGGTTTTAGGCCACCTACAGACACGAGTCTGGCTGCCCTTCCTCTTCTGGGTGGCGATTAGAAACCGGCCGCGGTGAGAAGGCGGCAGCTCCGGCGGCGTATGAAGGAGCGAGGGTCACCCCCAGCCTGTGCTCCGTGCAGTGCTGGGGGGAGGGGGCTGTGTTCAGCTCCAGAGCATGGCTAGAGGAGTGCTCTGTCACCAGGAATAAAATTAATAAATTAGGGAGAGGAAGTGTTTTTTGGATTGGGTTTTGAGGTTGGGTGGTGTTTTTTGGTTCGTTTTTTGGGGTGTGGAGTTGTTTTTGGTTTTGTTTTTTCTTTTAAACCTGTGAGCTAGTGTAAAATGTGGTATTTCTGCTCTAGCAGGATGACAAAATTTGTAATCAGAGATGCAGACAAAGGTGCTTCCCCTTGTCCTTGCCAGTCACCTGTCTTCCCAGACCCCCTCTTCATCTGGGAAGCATCAGAAGGCTCCGGGGGGGTGTCTTGTGAAACCTGTGTGTCAGAGAGCACAGGAATGTCTTTGCTGCCTTTCTGACCCAGACCTCTCACCCCAACCAGGCTGAAAGGCAACTGGGGTTTGGGAAGCTGGTGGGCACCAGTGTCCCCACTGGGACCCATGTCCTGGCTTTATGGGCAAGATGTTGAGACCTTGCAGGAACTGGGAATATATGGTGAGCGTGGGGAGGGGGAACAGAGACAGGGATCTTGGGGAGGGGGCGGGTTTTTTTTCTTGTTTCAATTTCTAGGAGAGCTGGGTGAACCTTTTATCGCCTCCTGTTTCAACACAGCAGTTTTAGGAGCTTGAATAAGTAAAAAATGGAGGTGGCAGAATTGCAGGTGTCGAGGGGAAATAGAAGTGTTGGTGCTGAGGTTCTCCTGGTGCCAGGCAGGTCGTGCTCTGCTGGGGGGCTCAGCGTGTGCCAGGGGGTTGATCTCATCTCTGAGTCTCCAGATGCCCGAGCAGTGTTTGCCCTTTTCTTCTTTTTTTTTTTTTTTTTTGTTTTTAACATATTTCTTTTGTTTTTAACATATTTTGCTACATTTTGCTTTTGTTTAATTTTCATAACTTTAATTCATGCTTCTTTTTTTTTTTTTTTTATTGTTTTATTTCTTTCAGTTAATCACACACAGACTTTCAGGCCAAGAGTGGACTTGGTGCTTTCATGTGTTAAGTTGCTTGAGTTTCCCACCCTGTGACCCTTCTCATAACATTGTGTGAATGGACCAAAGTGAAAGAGAAAATGAGCATCTTCGGTGTCGCAGTGTAACGACTCGCTGGTGTCTGTGCAGAATTTACCAAGAGGTGTTAAGGAAGTAACCTTACCATGTACATTTTGTTAAACAAAGTCAACTAATCCCCTAAAGTAAGATGTTTTTTTTTCCTAAACCCAGTTGATTGAGTGTATAAAGTGACCGTAACTGTTTGTCTGAACTCATCTTACCCACCAGCTAAATACTGGCTTTCTATAATATATATATTTTTTTTTTTAATTGGCAAAGGTGACTGCTTGAGGCTCATCTACCTTCCCCTGTACAGGCACAAACGTGAGGACTGGTGTGAAGAATGCTGAAATGTTTATTTTTCTAACAAAATTCCTGATTGGAGTAAGTTTTTTAGAATGAGTAGAAAAACACAATGCTGAGACTTTTTTGCCCTGGGAATCTTAGTCTGAGTAATCGTCATTCCACTAATTATATATTTTAATCTTGAATTACTCTAAACACTTTCTACATCATTTATAATATATATATATCTATATATATATAAAGAGAGAGAGAGAGTGCTTAATAAAATTCATGGGACAATGTTTTGAATTTTCTTTACTGCTAAAGTAGAACATTTATATAGGAAGATTTTTCCTAAGAGTTTGTTGTATAATGTGGAACTACAGGATTTGTGTAACTTTTCACTTGTCATTTACCAATGTATTTTACTGTTGTGGAAAAAACTATTTAAGTGGTCATCTTTAGTTTTACTCTTTAACCTTAAACTTATTATGTGCCTACTAAGGAGAATGCCCTGATCTTGAGCTCTGCACTGTATTTATGCTGACAGGCTCTGTTCCTCTTAGAAGGTGCTTCCTTTAACACTCATCATGCCTAGAAATCACAGCCTTGTTTTCCTGGGCAACCGAGTTTAGAGGAATAATTAGGATCAGTATTATTTTTTCCCACTCAAACCGTTTTGTGATAAGGCAGGATGATAACTGAATAGGGACTCACCAGCTATGTTGTCACAGAAAAATAGTTGGACCCAGTTCCATCCCTCAGAAAACAGGCTGAAATAAAGCAAATATTTTATATTAACCCCCACATAGTGACTTCAGAGTTTATAAAAACACTGGCTGGCTAAGTGTTAGTTGTGCATTGAGTGTGTGCATTTTTATTTAGTTATTAATATTACAGGATTATTTTTTTCCTGAAAGACTTGTCTTTAAGTGGAGATGGCAGCAAATTCCTTATTGACTTGCAGATGGAGGTGCACGACCTCGTGTCTGAGCCGTGACAGGTCTGTCTGTTGGAGGGTCAAGTTTTGCTGGGTTGTGAGATGAGGTTCTTTCACTTGCACATCCCATTAAGCAGCTTTTTTAAATTATTATTTTTTTTCTCTAATTACATGCTCAGGTGTAAAACTTTTCATGTAGACATTGGCCTCTTATATGGATATAGTGAAAATCACGTCAGTGTTACTTGGTGTGTGTGAGAAAGAACCTCATGAAGATCTCGCAGGTACCTTCTCCAAGAGTAAAAACGATGGGCACTTGTTAGGAGTCTGCTGAAAGCTGGACATTTAATTTTTAAGGCTGTGCCTCCAGGTTAGATGTATTTTAAAGGGTAACTGCCAAACTTTAGGAGGGTTAATGTGTTTTTCTCAGAGAAACGTACGAAGAACCCAGCCTATCGTTACATGCTGGAGGACAATCCCAGCTCACGCTGACAACAGTCCAATCGTGTAGCAAATTAGGGGCAGGATTTTGATTTTTTTGTTTTTATTTTTATTATTTTTTTCTGCTAATGAGAGAAACTCTGGTGCACTAATTGCACGAACCAAGCAACGCTACTTGGTTCATTGTTTTGCTTCTCAAGGCTGAGATGAAGCAGCA